ACAAAAATAAATATTCTATTTTTTAATCAAAAATAAAAAGGAATTACCAATTAATCATTGCGCGGAATTTTATTAGAATTTTTCGGCATGTTTCTGGTAATCATGATAGAGTAAAATAAATAGTTTAAATTTCTAAAAGAAAAAGTTATGAAACTCAATTTCTTAGTTAAAAATAAATACAGCATTCAACTGTGTGTGAATAATCGTGCACAGTTTTAAATTAATCTTCACAATAGAATATAAAAATAGTTTTATAAATAATCAAAGTTGAATCACCTATGTTCGTGAAACAAAAATACACCAAATGAAAGCTCTATTAAAGTTACATTTCAATGCCTTCGATAAAATAGGTATATTGAAAGATCAAGAATATTTTGGATGATCGTCAAAAATTTCAGAAGAAAAAGTTGATGAAGTTTATGATATTTGTAACAAATGAGCCACAATTAAGTGTTCGAGCTATTGCAAAGATCTGTTCTATTCCACCACTAACAATGCACTGAATCATGACTGAATAATTTTGATTGAAACTGTATCAGGTGCCATTTGTTCGTCAAATAGAGCAAACCTTAAGAGATATTACGTTAACCTTCCCGATGGAGTTTTGAAACACCCTGTACATAATATAATGTAGCTTGTTTTTATTTCTTTACACTTCACAGTGGTTCCATAAGAATCACTGATACAATAACTTTATAAATAGATTATTAGTCTGTGTAACATGCTAATGATGGTGTCTGATTCATCGAATGTCCATATCTTTATGTAGGGTCGTTTGATGAGTCCAATGGCCGTGTGGTAGAGAAAGGGGTTTTAATGACATATTAAACTTTGGTCTTTTTTCGTTGACCATATTATTGAGCGAGCAAAAGCACCAGCAATCCCATGTTATTGTAGCTATAGAAAAAAAGCAAGAAGTAAATCGATAAAAATTAATCTCAAAGGAATACATGCGTTTTTTCAATAAGCATCTAGTTTACTTTGAGACATTTTATAGTCTCTGAAGACGTTCAATTCACAATAAGTTCGATTTCAACTTCTCATGAGTTGAGGTTTATAATCGTATGCCTTCGTATGTGTAATTTGCTGAGTTATCATGAAGCTTTCAAAACATACCTAACTTACTAGTGAGCTTCTTCACATAGAAATTCCGAAAGATCTCTATTGATTGTAGGTAGAGAACATTTTGTTTCGAAAAATTCGATTTTTTTCAAAATTATCGATTTCGTACTCCCTATATTTCAAAGGCAGGGCGATGAAAAAAAAAAATTCTTTCTACCAATTAATAGTCCATGCAGTTCACTACAGAACAAAAAGGTTCTTATCGTTTTCAAATTCCACACTTCCTTTATTTTCTGCAATCACACTACAAATATTTATTTGAATGACTAACGGGTAGTAAAGGATTAACTACTTGAATAAACAAGAAAAAAAAAATTTACACTTGATTTCATAATGAACAATCATCAGTTCTTCGTATCATGAAAAACAAATTAATCTTTTTCTTTTAAAGTTTGTTCATTAACGTCATTTTTTATCAATAGAACAATTTTGAAAATCGAATATTAATCGATTTTCGTGTTTTTCCAATTTTTCGGTCAAAAAAATTATCTGAATTATAACATCAATCGTGGGTGATAACTATTAATCATTTTAACCTTGATTAAATTTTTGATTTTTAGAATAGATTTAATTAAGTTGAAACAGTAATTATTTTGATTTAATTGATATATTTGATAGAATAGATTAAAATATATTTATTTTATTGTTCTTTATTTTAAAAACTTCATATTTATAGATTATTCTCAGAATGTTTTTTATGTATTCATCTGCAAGTTAGGTTTTTTGGGCACTAAAGTTAGTTTATGTTGCTCATTTCTAACGATTTCTATCGTTTTAATGATCAAGAGATATGAACATAGAAGTTTCTAACTGCCTCATTATCAAAATCTCAGCTCTAAATATTGATCTAACACTTTTTCATCGTATGACGGCAGCATCGAATCATGCGGAATAAATTTATCGTGGTCAAAAATAGTTAGTCAGATATTGGAAGTTAATTTCGGTCTAAAGGAAAGGTTTTCCACCTCGAAATTTCGAGCTCACTTTTCTGAACTACTTTTAATCGACTCTCATAAAATTTCAATAATTACTAGTAGTTTTCAGTTCATGTTTTCATTACAAAATATAAGAAAAGAATCCATTCTA